TGTGCGCGAAAGGTGACAGCGTAAATTCTCTGTAACATGTGATGACATTAACAGGACTCAGTCATACGGGTTGCACTTTAGCTCACAAAGGAAGGAAAGCAACTACCGATACTTTTGTTGTTAAGATGCTGCGAGATGCTGGCGCAATACTGCTATGCGTCACCAATACTCCAGAAATGTGCGGTGGTTTGGATTGTTACAATTTTCTGCACGGTCGTTCGTATAACCCTTACGATACCAGATATACACCTGGCGGTTCGTCTGGCGGTGAGGTGAGATAATATTTAATTAATGCGATGTTTCGAGTGGATGTTCCTGTCCAGCGCGCAGTATGTACGTATATTCGATAAAGTTCTTCGAAAATTGCAATTGTATTATTATACTTAATACATAGACTGTGCTACGCTTATTGGTAGGTAACCAATACTTGACTTTTCAGTAGTGTTATAAGATCCACCGGTTATCTTCAACGTTATATAATCATAAAAATTACATAGCATAATCACAGGTGCAACGAGAAATGACAAGGACGTCATAGTAATAAAAAAATGACTGTATAAACTAAGTTGACCATCATAATTTGATAGATATAATTTCATCACTTTCTTGTCTTTTATGTCATTTTGACATTACAGTGATTTTCTGTTTCACCTTGAATATGATAAAGTTATGTAATTTTTTTATTATTATGTGTATTGATGTGCTACTAATAATTTAAAATGAAATCCGTTTGCGACGTAGAGATTGATGTACGTCAATATATGCTCCTTGACCAACCTAAGAATATTCTATTCCTGCAGAGAGCCACTTCTGAAAAAATATTTCTTATATGTGTATGTGACGTCAATTCGTTGCATCACAGATATGATTAAAATCAATGTTACATTCTCAGTCGGAAACGTTACGCTTTTATAGCAAAATCGTTTCTCTCTTTTTCTTAAATAATATATAAATTTGTAGGTAAATGAATTTATTTCAGGCCGCATTGCTCGGAGCAGGTGGTTCCTTGATCGGAATCGCCGCGGACTTCAGCGGTTCTATAAGGGTACCAGGACTTTTCTGCGGTATCTTTGGATTCAAACCCACGTCGCGTAAGTCGACCTTTTCCTTCGTTTAAATGGAACACCTGGATTTTATTTATTTAAGTTCAGATTTCTCTCACCTACTTCTTTGTTTATAATTTATTATTGAAAAGTTAGGAAGTCAAAATTCTATCGTTGATTTAATAGAATATTCAAAGGAATTGATTAATTCTTACTAATTTTTGCAGTAATTCATTTTATACTTTTTCTCACATACAGAAGTCATTCCGAGCAGAGACCATTTTCCAACGCACAACAACGAATATTTTCAAAAGTACGTAGCGTTCGGCCCGATGACTAGGTACGCAGACGATCTCAGTCTGTTCATGAAAGTGATATCTATGAAATCCAATCGCGACTTACGTCTAGAGGAGCCGGTCGATTGGAAGCAAATGAAGGTCTATTATCGACACAATCTGGGTAAATCCCTTAGCATTTTGTCACTGTCATCGGAATTCAAACAATGCATTCTAAAAGCTACTATTCACTTTGTCGAGCGCGGTGTTCATACGGAGGAGGTATGTCTTTATAATGTAGGTCCAGCACGTATCATCTGTATCCAAAATTTTCATGAATTTAATTCTAACTGTGGTTGTTAGATACCGATAGAGTGGCCTGCCTTGTTATTTGAAATGACAGTGATGCAGTTTATGCATATGGAAGAGCTTGACGTACTTATAGATGCCAAGAATCCCAAGGTATTGGTATAAACAAAATTTGAGAAAATATTGTATTATTTTTTTAATCACGTGGAGACACAAACTCATATGGTAATTTGGATCTGTGTCCTTTTTATTACAGCTTCGAAAGAATCCTATAGTGGAAATGATAAAAGCTATATTCGGGCAATCGCATCACACGATGTCTCTACTTTATGTCGCGTCTGTAAATCATGTCTGTCATAGGATATACTCGGGAAAAGAGATGTTACGTTACTATTCGCAGAGGTTTAAGGAATTTCAACAGAAGTTGCAGAAACTATTGGGAAAAAATGGAGTGTTAATTTATCCAACTTTCCGAAACACAGCACCTTTTCCTGAACTGGCTTTCGGTGAACTAGCAAACCTCGTTCTGTACTCTTCTTTGGTTAATGTCCTCGGCTTTCCTGCAGTGCAAATACCAATGGGGCTCAACAGCAAGGGAATGCCCATGGGTCTTCAGGTAAATAAATTGAACTTGGTATCTCAAAGAAGATGTTTAAAATATCTTAATCTTCTTGGGATGAGTTCGCGTTTCGATTTGAATTTATTTGAAATTATTCCTTTAACTTAGGGAAATAAGAAAGTAAAATATGTGCCTGGTAGTACTGAAATACAGGATGAATACGCATAAATGTTCTAACTTTTATACATGAGATATTAGTTATCGACGGCAATTGCAATTGATGAAAAAGAGTGAAGAGGGCCTGCGCATATCTCCCGTTTTCGAGGGATTAATGAATGTCTGGGAGGATAGAAATTTTTCGAACATTTATTTTTGATAATTACATATGCTGGCAATGTTGTCGGAAAATAATTAAAAGTAAATTATTCATTGGACGATATATTAAAAAATTTTAGGTTATAGCTGCGCCATATCAGGACCGTCTCTGTTTGGCTGTTGCAAAGGAGTTAGAGACGGCATTCGGTGGTTGGGTACCACCTTCGATATCAACAATAAACAATTAAGAGATTATCTATATCTCTTANATCCGCTGCTTCTGTTCAGACACATATAAACTTGCTAGCAACTTATTGGCATGTCCTTCTTAGTTGACTGGCTGCGTTAAGTAAAAAAATGTATAAAATAATAAAACTTGAGAAGCTTATGTACGAGATTATCATGCTTTAGTGCGCATAAATTTCTTGAACTAATGCAGTTAATTCTGTTAAAAGAAGAAATCATATGTCTTTTACACTGCTGACAACTGTTATATTCTTAACCTTTTTTTGTTTATAATTTTATAATTTTTAATAAACAATGAGTACCCGCTGATATTTTTTTTAGATTACTGAGATGACTAAGTATTATGTACTTGACAAAATTTTTTAAGTTTAAAAGTATTGAAGGCATTAATAATCTACCTATTTTTCAATTACAATTTGGACTTATCACTCGATAGATATGTCTTTATTTAGGTACGATAACGTTCTTGAATCTGGTATGTATGGATGAAGAGTTACGTGAAAAACTAAAAATCAGCAATAACACTGAAGGTACGCGTCCGATTTCAGAATCGTAACCAATTTATGAGCAACGTTTAAAGACGCTATTTCTAAACTAAAATTATTGGCGAAAAAATTAGTTTTTAGTCGTGCCTATACTTCACTACAGATTACATACGTGAATAGATAACAATCGACCATTTATCTTCAACTGTATATAATATTTAAATATA